GTATTTGTGTTTCTCTATGTGGCTTATTTTACTTAACATGATATCCTCAAGGTTCATCCATGCTGTTTTAACTGACAGAATTTTATCCTTTCTTATGGCTGAATATTCACTGTATATATATATAGCACATTTTCTTTATCCATTTATTTGTTGCTGTACATTTCAATTGATTCCATATGTCAGCTACTATAAATAGTTCTGTAATAAACATGGGAATGCAAATACCTTTTTGACACAGTGATATCCTTTCTTTTGGATATACACCCAAGAGTAAAATTACTGGATCATATAATAGATATATCTTTAATTTATTTCAGAAACTTCCATATTGTTTTCTATAATGGCCATACTAACTTACAATTCCACCAACAATGTATACGTCCACTCTTTTTTTATATCCTCACTACTACTTGTTTTATTTATTTATTTATTTGTTTTTATTACACCCATTCTAATGGGAGTGAGGTGGTACCCCATTGTGGTGTGGATTAACATTTCCTTGATTATTAGTAATGTAGAGCCTCTTTTTATGTTGCAGTTAGCCATTTTTGTGTCTCTTTTTGACAAACGTCATTAAGATTTTTTGCATATTTTTAATTAGATTATGTGTGTTTTATTTTGAGATTTTAAAGTTTCTTATATATTCTGAATATTAGCCTTTTGTCAGATGTATAGCCTGAAAACATTTCCTTTCATCACCTAAGTTGTCTCTTCAATCTTTTAGTTGTTTTTTTAATATGAAAAAGTATTTAAGTTTGACATAATGTTGTTTGCTTATTCTTGATTTTGTTGCCTAGGTTTTGAAGCCTTATTTTAATAATCCTTTCCCAGTCCAATGTTATCAAGCATTTTTTCTACATTTTTCTCTAAGAGTTTCATAATTTGTCATATTACATTTAAGTCTTTAGTTTTAGTTGATCTTCATATATGGCAAGGCACAAGGGTCTAGTATTATTTTTCTGCATATAAATATTAAAATGGCCCTGTAACATTTATTGAAGAGATTAGCTTTTCCTTAAAGTGTATTCTTGGTACTTTTGTTGAAAATCAATTGGCTTTAGGTGCATAAATCAACTCTGGGCTTATTGGGCACATTAGTCTACGTGTTTGTTTTTATACCAGTACAGTGCTGTTATATATACATACTATATATTGGTTACTATAGCTTTACAGCAAGTTTTTAAGTTTGATAAAGTGATGCCTTCAACTTTGCTTATTTTGCTGAAAGTTCCTTTGTCTACTCACAGTTTTTTGTGGATCCACATAAGTATAGAATATTTTTTCTATTTCTGTGAAAAATTGTCATTGGTATTTTGATAAAAATCATGTTAAGTCCGTAGATCACTCTGTGTAGCTGTATTCACAGTGCTCTTCCAGTCTATAAACAAAATATTTTTTTATTTATTCATTTGTATTTTATACTTTTTATCCACATTTTGTAGTTTTCAGTGTAGAGGTCTTTTACCTTTTTAGTTAAGTTTGTTGCTAGGTGTATTAGGGTTCCCTAGAGAAACAGAACTAATAGGAGAATATATATATATACACACATATGTAAATGGGAGTTTATTAAGTTTTAATTTACAGATCACAAGATGCCACAATAGGCTGTCTGCAAATTTGAGGAGAAAGGAGAGCCAGTCCACATCCCAAAGCTGAAAAACTTGGAGTCTGATGTTTGAGGGCAGGAAGCGTCCAGAACGGGAGAAAGATGTAGCCTGGGAGCCTAGGCCAGTCTCTCCTTTTCATGTTTTTCTGCCTGCTTTCTATTCCCTAGCAGCTCATTAGACGGTGCCCACCCAATTAAGAGTGAGTCTCCCTTTCTCAGCCCACTGACTCAAATGTTAATCTCCTTTGGCAACACCCACACAGACACACCCAGGATCAATGCTTTCTATCCTCCAATCCAATCAAGTTGACACCCAGTATTAACCACTACATTAGGTATTTTAATTTTTGTAGCTTTTGCATATGCAGAAGAAGCATTGGATGAAAATCAACATTATGATGAAAACTCTCAACAAGTTAGGAATAGAAGGTATGTGCCTCAACACAATAAAGGCCATTTATGACAAAGCAATGCTAACATTATACTGAGTAAGGAAAAGCTGAAAGCTTTCTCTCTGAGATCTGGAACAAGACAAAGCATCCCCACTTTCATCCTTCTTACTCAATGTAGGAAGTCCTAGCAAAGGAAAATAGGCAAGAGGAAGAAATAAAAGCTATACTAATTGGAAAGGAGGAAGTCAAATGGTCTGTGATTTTGGACAAAATAATCTTATATGTGAAAAACTCTAAACACTACAGCAAAAACTATTAGAACTACTAAACGAATTCAGTAAAGTTGTAGAAAATCAACAAAGTAGTAGCTTTCTGTATGCTAATAGCAAACTATCTGAAAAATAAAATTTAAAATTCCATTTTAATAACAACCAAAAATTAATTCATTTTGAGTTTATTTATTTATTTGAGGTGGAGTCTCACTCTGTCGCCAGGCTGGAGCTCAGTGGTGTGATCTCGGTTCACTGAAACTCTTGCCTCCTGGGTTCCAGAGATTCTCCTGCCTCAGCCTCCTGAGTATCTGGAACTACAGGTGCATGCCACCACCCCCAACCCCGACTAATTTTTTGTGTGTGTATTTTTAGTAGAGACATGGTTTCACCATGTTGGCCAGGATGGTCTTGATCTCCTGACTTTGTGATTCACTTGCCCTAGCCTCCCAAAGTGTTGGGATTACAGGTGTGAGCCACCACACCTGATTAGTAGTTGTTGAAGCTGGATAACAGATCTACTATACTATTTTATTTTTATATGTTAAAAATAGTTTTTTTGTTAAAACTTGCATAAATAGACAAAATTTGTCTGTAATGTTAACTTGATTACCTTTGAAAAGGGAGAGAGGGAGTAAGTTATTTTCTTGGTATGAGTAAAGCTAGTTTAATTTCTCAGTTGTTAAAGTTAATGCTCTGTTATAATCCATCAAGTCTTACATGAATGTTTCTGTGTGCATTTCTGTATGTATGTTGCACATCAATAAACAATTAAATATTTTATATTTGCTCAGAAATTTTAACTCAGCGTCTCAGTAGAAAATATTTTATATGCATTTGAAAGATAATTTGTAACTAGTTCACCAAAAGGTCCTGGTTTAAAGAAGTGGTTTTTGGGCTTGGCCACACACTGTAATCAAATGAAGAACTTTAAACACTATTGCTGTCTGGGTTTCAATCCAGAGATTTTTATTTTATTGCTGTGCTGCAACTTGGGTTTGAAGAATGCTTAAAGCCCCTTCCCAGGTGATTCTAATATGCTGCCAGGGTTCAGAAGCACTGGTTCAGGATGAGGAATGCATTAGCTGTTTGTGATTTTCATGTCTGTTGCAGGGATTTGACCCATTGGTATTGCCAGATTAGAGGTCTTGGAAAACAAATTTATTCTATTAAACTCAAAGTACGACTTGAAGACATACTCAGCTGTTTAGTTAAGTTGCAGCAGGAGAAAATGTCTCTTTGAGGATCTGTTTTTATGTCACTTGCTTTTAGAGAAGAGACTGTCTCTGGCACAGTAATTTGATTTAATCTATGTTGAAAACATAAATAGCCTGCAAATACCACATATATATATATGTGGAGTGCATTCTATGTGTTTTCAAATTTTTCCTATGATGTAAAATAAATAGTATAATGTGGTACCTTGGATTTCTCAGCCCTCAGCCATTTTCTTAAATTATTAAAAGACCTTCCAAGGTGGTTCAGAAGCATTTTTCAGAGGAGATTATTCCTAATGGTAAAGGGTAATAAGAGATGGATAAAAATCTCAAATACATTCTGCCTCTACTTGCAGAACTGTCACTCTCCAGAGCCTCTAAGATCCAGGGAAGTTTCATAAGTTAGTGTAGTCTATGGAGATTATGAACATTTAACAGAGTTGGTCTGGACTGCCATCCTAGTCTCTTAGTAGCTGTGCAGCTTTAGACAATTTACTTGACTTAGAACAGTTATATAAACCTGAGCTGCAAGAAAAATAATAACACTGATTGCAAGAATGACAACCATTTATCATTCCTGTCTGATCCGGGCTCTCTGCAATGTGCCCTTGAGGCTGCTTCCGTGGAGGGAAAGATTTTCTTTCCCCAAATCTTGGATCTGGCTGGCCTTATTTGCTCTGCCTCATTCATACTTTTTGTTCTAATAAATAATTAGAAATGGTTAGCTTCTCTCCAACCTCTATCTAGTTAAAATTATATCTTATAAAATGTTGCCTGTCTTTACTATATTTGGCTATATTCATTTTACTCGATATTCAGGTTTACTAATCTTTTTATCTCTGTTTAATTTAGTGGTTAACCTATACATTGTCTTAATTTTATTATTATTTACATTCTACTGGGCTGTTATTCAAATGTGCTTTTAAACTTTATAGCCTCTTGTTTTTTTCACCAAAATAATATATTCTTCTATTTTTTGTTGTATTTTAACATTTTAAACATAATTTTAATATGGAAAGTGGTGGCATAGTTTTTCTTCAGAGATTTGGTTTTAATTGCTTGTGTTCTTCAGTTTTTAACTTGGTTCCAATATTTGGGAAATATCACATTTGAGATGTCTGTAGTCGTGTTCTGTGCTTATTCCATTTTTCCTTGGAGGAAGGCGGACAACAGGCAGATTTGACATCCTTGTTATCAATCAGTATCTGAAGGGATCACTTTTTTCCAGTTTGATTACTTCTCTGGCTCATTCTCTTGATTTGCTTTTGCTCTCATCAAGTCCTTATATATTTTTAAACTCTATTCAATGTTTTTAGTGTTCTTGTAACTCCTTGAAGGTTTTTAGTTGTCTACATTAAAATATTTAAAAATATGTAGCCATTTTTTCTTGAAAGCACAAATATCCACAGTGTACACAAGTAGAATATTTCATAGACATTGAGCAGCATACAACATCATCCTATGAGATATTCTATTTTTTCATTCAAAACATCTCTCTCATCTCCCCTCCTTCTAGGATCTCCTCCTGGTTCGGCCCGCCTGCCTCCACTCCTGCCTCCACCATGTCCATCAGGGTGACCCAGAAGTCCTACAAGGTGTCCACCTCTGGCCCCCGGACCTTCAGCAGCCGCTCCTACACGAGTGGGCCCGGTGCCGGCATCAGCTCCTCAAGCTTCTCCCGAGTGGGAAGCAACAGCTTTCGGGGTGGCCTGGGCGGCGGCTATGGTGGAGCCAGCGGCATGGGAGACATCACCGCAGTCACGGTCAACCAGAGCCTGCTGAGCCCCCTTAACCTGGAGGTGGACCCCAACATCCAGGCCTTGCGCACCCAGGAGAAGGAGCAGATCAAGACCCTCAACAACAAGTTTGCCTCCTTCATAGACAAGGTACGGTTCCTGGAGCAGTAGAACAAGATGCTGGAGACCAAGTGGAGCCTCCTGCAGCAGCAGAAGACGGCTCGGAGCAACATGGACAACATGTTCGAGAGTTACATCAACAACCTTAGGCGGCAGCTGGAGACTCTGGGACAGGAGAAGCTGAAGCTGGAGGCCGAGCTTGGCAACATGCAGGGGCTTGGTGGAGGACTTCAAGAACAAGTATGAGGATGAGATCAATAAACGTACAGAGATGGAGAATGAATTTGTCCTCATCAAGAAGGATGTGGATGAAGCTTACATGAACAAGGTAGAGCTGGAGTCTCCCTGGAAGGGCTGACTGATGAGATCAACTTCCTCAGGCAGCTGTATGAAGAGGAGATCCGGGAGCTGCAGTCCCAGATCTCGGACACATCTGTGGTGCTGTCCATGGACAACAGCCGCTCCCTGGACATGGACAGCATCATCTCTGAGGTCAAGGCACAGTATGAGGAGATCGCCAACCGCAGCCGGGCTGAGGCTGAGAGCATGTACCAGATCAAGTATGAGGAGCTGCAGAGCCTGGCTGGGAAGCACGGGGATGACCTGCGGCGCACCAAGACTGAGATCTCCGAGATGAACTGAAACATCAGCCGGCTTCAGGCTGAGATTGAGGGCCTCAAAGGCCAGAGGGCTTCCCTGGAGGCCGCCATTGCAGATGCCGAGCAGCGTGGAGAGCTGGACATTAAGGATGCCAACGCCAAGTTGTCCGAGCTGGAGGCCGCCCTGCAGCGGGCCAAGCAAGACATGGTGCGGCAGCTGCGTGAGTACCAGGAGCTGATGAACGTCAAGCTGGCCCTAGACATTGAGATCGCCACCTACAGGAAGCTGCTGGAGGGCGAGGAGAGCCTGCTGGAGTCCGGGATGCAGAACATGAGTATTCATACGAAGACCACCAGCGGCTCTGGATGTGGTCTGAGCTTGGCCTATGGGGGCTTCACAAGCCCGGACCTCAGCTACGGCCTAGGCTGCAGCTTTGGCTCTGGTGCGGTCTCCAGCTCCTTCAGCCTCACCAGCTCCTCCAGGGCCATGGTTGTGAAGAAGATCGAGACACGCGATGGGAAGCTGGTGTCCGAGTCCTCTGACGTCCTGCCCAAATGAACAGCTGCGGCACCCCCTCCCAGCCTACCCCTCCTGTGCTGCCCCAGAGCCTGGGAGGGAGACCGCTATGTAGGGTACCACTGGGAACAGGAGACCCAACTGAGGGCCTTCAGCCCACCCACAGGGGAGTTTACTACGTGGGGACCCCCCTTGCCCATGCCTCCAGCTATAAAACAATTCAATTGCTTCTTTTTTCGATCCAAAATAAAACCTCAGCTAGCTCTGCCAACAACAACAAAAAAAAAACAAAAACAAAAAACAACAACAACAACAAAAAAAAAATCTCTCTCAAATGTGTAGTAAGCGTCATTTGTAAACGGTAGTTCTTTTGATACTTAGGATTTTGTTTTATGTGCATTTTTGAACACATATACTTAACTGTAGTGAACAGAACTGACCTAGATAGAAACAGAATCACTGTTTTTGTATAACATTAAGTTGATAGAATGATTTATCTTATTCAAGTCTTTTGACTCGAGTCACTATGCTTCCTTTAGTATTTCCCTTACCTCATAAAAGTAATTTGTGGGATTTTTTATTTATTTTATAAATTAATTAAAATACAATTTGTATATGAGTAAATATTACTTGTTGATTAAAATTTATAATTTCTACTGTCATTTTAGTGTCCTAAAATATATGACCTCTTGAATTTTTGCTTTTATAAAATTAACGATATTGTCAGACCTAAAACTTTGCCATTTATATTTACCCCTCTGTTATTGGAATACAGTGTGTATCTTCTGTTTACAGCTGAAAAATTCTACCAATTTTTCTCTCTCACTGGTAGACAAACTTTCTAATAAAGTTATCATTCCTTGTGTTCATTTAGCTACCGTATGTTAAACATTTAATATATGGTGATCTTAATGTTATTTAATATGATTGTAAATATTTCAATTTGTCATTTTCCACAAATTTCTGTATTCTATGTTTTAGACTCTTAGCTATTAAGTATAGTGTGTGTAAATGACTTAGAATAGTTTCTGAAACATTGTAGGGGTTGCTAAGTACTAATCACCCTGATTCATCAAATTTGTATATGTTATACCATTTTGTATGTTACACCATTCTTGCATTGTCTTCTTTTGAAAAATACCTGCTCTTGTCCTTTGCCAACTTTTTGATGGGATTGTTTTATCCTGTTTGAATTATATAAGTTCCTTATAGATTCTGAATATTAGACCTTTTTCAAATGCACTTAGTTTATGAATATTTTATCCCATTCTGTGGGTTGTTTAAACTCTTGGATAGCTTCTGTTGCTCTGTAGAAACTCTTTAGTTTAACCAGGTCACACAGGTCAATTTTTGTTTTTGTTGCAACTGCTTTTGAAGATGTAGCCATAAATTGTTTACCAAGGCCAATGTCCAAATGGTGTTTTCTAGGTCTTTTTTCCCTAGGGTTTATATAATTTGAGGTCTCACATTGAAGTCTTTAATTTGTCTCAAGTTAATTCTTTTTAATGTGGTGAAAAGCAAGGGTCTGCTTTATTTTTATTTATATTTCTAGCCAGTTATTCCAGAACCACTTATTGACTAGGGAATCCTTCCCCTATAACTTATTTTACTGACTTTGTCAAAGTTCAGATGGTTGTAGATGGGTAGCTTCATTTCTGCATTCTCTATTTTATTCCATTGGTTTATTTATCTATTTTTCTACAAATTCCATGCTGTTTTTGATTACTGTACCTGATATTTTGAAGTCAGGTAATGTAAAGCCCCCAGCTTCTTTCTGTTTGCTTATCCAATTGCTTTGGCAATTAGGGCTGTTTCTGTAGCTCCATATGAACTTTAGGATAATTTGTTCTAATTATTTGAAGAATAACATTGGTAGTTTGATAGAAATAGCATTCAATGGGTACATTGTTTTGAGCAGTATGACCATTTTAACATATTGGTTCTTTCGATCCATGGGCATGGAATGTTTTTCCATGTGTTTGTGTCATCTATGATTCTTTTCAGCAGTGTTTGGTAGTTTTTTCTTGTACAGATATTTTACCTCCTGGTAAAGATATGACAATATCTTTAATTTACACTCTCACCAACAGTGTAAAAGTTTTCCTATTTCTCCACATGATCTCCAGCATTTGTTGTTTCCTGACGTTTTAATGATCGCCATTCTAACTGGTGTGAGATGGTATCTCATTTTGGTTTTGATTTGCATTTCTCTAATGACCAGTGATGATGAGCTTTTTTTCATATGTTTACTGGCTGCATAAATGTCTTCTTTTGAGAAGGGTCTGTTAATATCCTTTGCCCGGTTTTGATGGTTTTTTTTTTTCTTGTAAATTTGTTTAAGTTCTTTGTAGATTCTGCATATTAGCCCTTTGTCAGATGGATAAATTGCAGAAAATTTCTCCCATTCTGTAGGTTGCCTGTTAACTCTGATGATAGTTTATTTTGCTTTGCTGAAGCTCTTTAGTTTAATTAGATCCCATTTTTCAATTTTTGCTTTTGTTGCCGTTACTTTTTGTGTTTTATTCGTGAAGTCTTTGCCTATGCCTATGTCCCGAATGGTATTGCCTTGGCTTTCTTCTAGGGTTTTTATGGTTTTAGGTCTTACATTTAAGTCTTTAATCCATCTTGAGTTAGTTTTTGTATAACATATAAGGAAGACGTCCAGTTTCAGTTTTCTGCATATGGCTAGCTAGTTTTCCCAACAGCATTTGTTATATAGGAAATCCTTTCCCCATTTCTTGTTTTTGTCAGGTTTGTCAAAGATCAGATGGTTGTAGATGTGTGATGTTATTTCTGAGGCCTCTGTTCTGTGCCATTGGTCAATATATCTGTTTTGGTACCAGTACCATCCTGTTTTGGTTACTGTAGCCTTTTGTATAGTTTTGAAGACAGGTAGCATGATGCCTCCATCTTCATTCTTTTTGTTTAGGATTGTCTTGGCTATGCGGGCTCTTTTTGGTTCCATATAAAATTTAAAGTAGTTTCCTCTAATTCTATGAAGAAAGTCAATGGTAGCCTGATTGGGATAGCATTGAATCTACAAATTATTTTGGACAGTATAGTCATTTTCACAATATTGATTCTTCCTATCCATGAGCATGGAATGTTTTTCCATTTGTTTGTGTCTTCCGTTATTTCCTTGAGCAGTGGTTTGTAGTTCCCCTTTAAGAGGTCCTTCACATCTCTTGTAAGTTGGATTCCTCGGTATTTTATTCTCTTGGTAGCAATTGTGAATGGGAGTTCACTCATGATTTGGCTCTCTGTTTGTCTACTATTGTGTATAGGAATGCTTGTGATTTTTGCACATTGATTTTGTATCCTGAGTGTAGAGGACTGTGTGCTCACAAACAAGAAGTTCCCGATAAGCCCTGCTCTTGCAAACAAAGCAGGACATTCCTTCTCTGCAAACAAGAAGGATAAAGGAGCCAGCTGTAAGCAGTGGCCTCTGGGAACTGGTCAATGTTTTACTGATCTTGTGAGTCAAGGAAAGGTCAGAGAAGCAACACATGTCCCGTGACTTGGCAACATTCCACAAACGGCTGGATAAAATAAAGCAGTGTGTGCTGTTCGGCGTGGCCGCCATGTATGTCTTGTCCTGTGTTGTCTTATGTGTTCATTCCTTTGTTTAGGAAACACGCGGACCCCAACAACTGGCGCAGCGAGCAGGGTCCGTGGCTCCAAGAAAGCAAGGAACCGGAGAGGGAGCACCCCGGGTTTGTAAGCAAAATAAAAAAAGGGGGACCCACGGGAAAATTATAAGGAATTCCACCTCTCTGGCCTCAGAATATTTATGGCTGTTTCAAGGACTGTTGCTGTCTATAGGAGTAGAAGTGAAAGAAAAAGACTTTGAAGCAATTGTTTGCCCATGTTGAACAACATTGTTACTGGTTTCAGTATCGGACTAAAGTGCAGCTGAATCAGAGAGAATGGTTACAGGTAGTAAAAGCTTTGCTTAGAGCTCACCAGTTAGGGGATACTATGCCTCTAAATTTGTGGACCTTGTGTAACTCTATCACTCAGGCATTAGAGTTACTTGAGACTGATTCAGAGTGTGGTGATGTAGCCACAGGAGGAAAGGCATCTGAGGATTTGGGAAAAAATAAATCTGAAATGGAGCCCATTTCTGCCAGGGTAACAGAGGATGGGGGGGGTAGCAAAAGGGGGAGAAGAGGAAGAGCCAGCTCTTCCTTCTTCTAAGGGGAATTCTGACATGCAGCGTATTATGGGAATGCTTCAACAGATATTACAGATACATTCTTCTAATTCACCTTTACGAGCTTTCCCTGTTTCTTTTCCTTCTGCCCTGTTAGAAGAGTATTTTCCAGTGCCTCCACTCCCCCCCCCCCCCAGCTTCCTTACCTTTGTCTGGCAAAGTTTTCTCATTGCCTTTCCCGCCATTGGGGGAGGGAGAAAAGGAAAAGATAAGAAAATTTAGGGGGTGGAGCAAGATGGCCGAATAGGAACAGCTCCAGTCTCCAACTCCCAGTGCAAGCAACACAGAAGACTGGTGATCTCTGCATTTTCAACTGTGGTACTGGGTTCATCTCACTAGGGAGTGCTGGACAATCAGTGCTGGTCAGCTGCTGCAGCCCGACCAGCAAGAGCTGAAGCAGGGTGAGGCATCGCCTCACCTGGGAAGAGCAAGGGGGAAGGGAATCCCTATTCCTAGCCAGGGGAACTGAGACACACAACACCTGGAAAATTGGGTAACTCCCACCCCAATACTGCACTTTAAGCAAACGGGCAACCAGGAGATTATATCCCACTCCTGGCCGGGAGGGTCCCACGCCCACGGAGCCACCCTCATTGCTAGCACAGCAGTCCGCAATCTAACTGCAAGGCAGCAGCGAGGCTGGGGGAGGGGTGCCTGCCATTGCTGAGGCTTAAGTAGGTAAACAAAGCCGCTGGGAAGCTCGAACTGGGTGGAGCTCACAGCAGCTCAAGGAAACCTGCCTGTCTCTGTAGACTCCACCTCTGGGACAGGGCACAGCTAAACAACAACAAAAGCAGCAGAAACCTCTGCAGATGCAAACGACTCTGTCTGACAGCTTTGAAGAGAGCAGTGGATCTCCTAACACAGAGGTTGAGAACTGAGAAGGGACAGACTGCCTGCTCAAGTGGGTCCCTGACCCCTGAGTAGCCTAACTGGGAGACATCCCACACTAGGGGCATTCTGACACCCCACACCTCACAGGGTGGAGTACCCCCCTGAGAGGAAGCTTCCAAAGCAAGAATCAGACAGGTACACTTGCTGTTCAGCAATATTCTATCTTCTGCAGCCTCTGCTGCTGATACCCAGGCAAACAGGGTCTGGAGTGGACCTCAAGCAATCTCCAACAGACCTACAGCTGAGGGTCCTGACTGTTAGAAGGAAAACTATCAAACAGGAAGGACACCTACACCAAAACCCCATCAGTACGTCACCATCATCAAAGACCAGAGGCAGATAAAACCACAAAGATGGGGAAAAAGCAGGGCAGAAAAGCTGGAAATTCAAAAAATAAGAGCGCATCTCCCCTGGCAAAGGAGCGCAGCTCATCGCAGGCAACGGATCAAAGCTGGATGGAGAATGACTGTGACAAGATGAGAGAAGAAGGCTTCAGTCCATCAAACTTCTCAGAGCTAAAGGAGGAATTACGTACCCAGCGCAAAGAAACTAAAAATCTTGACAAAAAAGTGGAAAAATTGATAGCTAGAGTAATTAATGCAGAGAAGGTCATAAACGAAATGAAAGAGATGAAAGCCATGACACGAGAAATACATGACAAATGCACAAGCTTCAGTAACCGACTCGATCAACTGGAAGAAAGAGTATCAGCGATTGAGGATCAAATGAATGAAATGAAGCGAGAAGAGAAACCAAAAGAAAAAAG